AATGTATCATTTTCATGGAATTTTTACGAATGTCATGGTGAAATAATGGAAATATTCGGATAAAAATTTTTTATAGGTTAGAGATTATCAATTCATCATTAATTCAAATTTACAAACTAAGGTGTTTGAGATTGATAATTTAAGTTATAATATTTACTATCAAGTAACACTTCTCATTTCGTTCAAATTAATTTAGAAATATAAAATCCATTAATTCATCAGCACTATCCAAATTATTGACACATAATATTACTTTATTTTATGTAATTATTACAATCAAGCGGCGAAGCAGGATGATTATGTTCTAGCTTTAAAACAAGTGCTTCAAATCAAAACTTGGAATTTTTGATTTTCCGATATAATAATTTAATAAATCTTGAAATTTCAGAAAATCAAGAAATTCAAGGTTTTCGCTTGGCGGCACTCAAACAAAAAATTAAAAAATCATTTTAAATTAACGTAAAACAGATTTAAAACTTTGCATTTTAAACCATTTACCATCCCTAAGTAAACCGATCCCACAAAATAGAATATTCGAAAATTTAACTTAGCATTACTCATATAGTCAGATGGCGCAAATAATTATATTGATTTAAGAATTGTGATATTCTAGGATAGATTAAGAAAGAAATGAAGTTTGATCAATAATGTATTTAAGAAAGTTCCAAAAATACTTTCATAAGGATTATAAAAATATATAAAAGGAATCATTTTAATGACTAATAAACGATGATGTGATGTATTTAAAGAATTATTATTTTTGCATTAGCTCTCAGTGAACAAGGAGAAGGGATATTATTATAATTAATCAATGAACGTATTTTGGAAGATTTCAGTGGTTTCATAAGGGTGGACGCTAAGAGGTGTATTATTATTATTATCTGTAATTTCGAAAGAGGATGAATCGATTAAATGATTAATAAAGGATAATGTGGCATTTCGAGACAGGTCAAGTTCATCATTTTGTATTAATCCTTCGTGAACAAAAGAGGAGGGTGGAAGCAAAAATGATTGATCAATGAATGCATTTTGGAATGATTCATTAGTTCCATAAGTATGAATATTTGGATAAGTAATGTTATTATTATTGAGATCCTGAGTTTCTGAAGATGAAGAATCATTTAAATAACTAATAGAAGATGATATAGTTAAAGGACCATTGTTTTGTGCTGGTCCTTCGTGAGCGGAAAGAAATACATTTTGGAATATTTCAAAGTGGCGGACCATATGTAATTAATCAAGCAAGAGAAAGGCTCGAGGATAATTTAGAATCGATTAAAGAGTT